AGAGAGAAGAGCCTTGCAAAGCCCAATTTTTACATATCTAACCTCACATCCTACTATCCAATGGGGTTACTCCCTGTTGAGTGAGTATAGGCTCATACCCTTGAGGAAGGAGGGACAGGAGTAACAGCAACACTAGAAAAGGGGAGAGAGGCAGTTTAGAATGCAGCAGGCTAAGGGAAGAAAGTGTGTCCAGGAAAGGGGAGCTGAGAGAATTCTTCAGAAGAATGTGGGGTGGGGACAGAGAAGAAGCCTGGGTGGGGAAAGGAAATGGCTTGAGAGTAAAGAAAAAAGAGAGTTAGTTGTAAAGGTGAACATCTCTGCTGATACAAAAGACGACAAATGCAATACTAAAAATATTTTTATTGTCAGTCACATCTCCCTTGAGCCAGACAACCAGGATTGCAAATCTAGTTCAGCTGCATCGAGCCATAAAACATTGACAAGATTTTTTTTAATTTCCTGATCATTAAAGTTTTGTGCATGTAATATTATATTCCAAAGGTAGATTAGCTTAGGTTAGCAGCCTTAAAGAAAAAGATGACAACAAAAATGATGATGCTAAACTCCCATGAAGGTGCAGGTAGCTTAGAGAAGAGCTATAAAATGGAATACCTACGTAATTGCCTCACTATCTCCTCAAAATTGGATGAAACTATATGGGTGTGGTAGATAACGACAGCATCAGAGCTGAAAGGGAATGGATCCTGGCACAGTGTACTGTGAAATGTGTAACTTATGCCATTGCTATTCTATTTTTAAAGACCATTCTAGGTAGGACCTTACTAAGACTTGCAGCAGAGGAAGTCTGACCACAGGGGAACTCGGCAACAAAATTTGCCAATCTGGAGAAGCTGTGACAGGCAGCACAACAAATATATGGAACTAACACACCATGAACAGTCCTTCTAGAAGGACGTACAGTACAGTCAGAAAGCAGGAGAGTAATTGTATTGGGTATTCCTATAAATAAACCTGAGTTTGATAAACACATCTACTCCATATTTAAGTTAATTATAAAACCTTTTTATTGCCAAGAGGGAGTGAAACATCCTACAACTAAGAGGTCCACTGTAACATTAGAAGTATATACAGTCACCCCATAACTAGTAATTAACTGGCTGGATACGGCCATAATTCTTTAATCACTATGCTAAAAATGAAGACTGCCTGGACCACTAGCTAGTTATGTTTCATCAGATCTAAACAGAAGACTTACTTGATGTTCCACTCCAAAAAGGGGAAGATGCCATCATCTTTTCGAGACACTTTTGGCTGCACTAATGTATTGGTAACTGTATTATGTTGTAAATTTATTTATTTATTTAAAGCTTTTATATACCATCCTTCAGTAAGTCCCAGGATGGTAAATTGATTTAAACAAATTAGCTTTATTATTTATAGCTTGTCAGCTAAGACCAGCATGTGTTTATTGGCACCTTCCCCTTGCATACAGGAAATAGATGGGGGGGGGGGCGGTTTACATTTATATCCTGCCATTTTTCCTCTTGTAAGAAACCCAAGGAGGTTCAAACATTTCTCTTCCTTTCTATTTTATTCCCACAACAGAAACCCTGTGAGGTAGGTTAGGCTGAGAGGCAGTGACTGGCCAAAAGTCAGTCAGTGGCTGAGACGGGACTAGAATCCAGATTTCTCAAGTGACAATCCAGAAGTGAAACTACTACACCACACCAGCTTTCCAGTGCATTTCTATTCACTACTTAGAAGATGAATTGACAAGCAGTTTGAAATAGTGACTCAGCAAAAGTTTTTTTTTTTTTTAAATCTGGACACCTGAGGAGATTTCAGTAAAATGACAAGTGTCATTTTACTGAAATTTTAGGGAACAGCCAATAGCTAAAGCATTTGGTCATGGTTCACACTTTGTAGCTGAAAAGAAATAAATTAATTTTTACATACACTATTGAATTAGTACAATAAAAGGTCTAAGAAGGCCTCACTTCTCTCCACTGCAGAAGCATTAAGAACTCTGAAAATGAACCACAAGTAGACTATGATCACTATCTGATTTGTTATAAGATTAGCACACCAAAACATTTTCTGGCAAAAGTTTTGTGCTGTTGGATAAACCTTAATGAACTTAATTTCTGCTTGTTACATAAAAGTTAACAGGCAGAAATAAAACACATTAAGGTTTCTTCCTTAGCACACCTCCACACTTGCAGAAGCTGCATCTGTTAAATCTCTGCTGGCATAGAGATATTTAAGTCACAGTAAAAAACAAATAAATATATAAATGATGGCACAAATACTGTAAGTCAATATAGAACTTCCATAAGCTCTATAGAAATCTTCTCAGCATAAAAGGTATGAAAAATCACCTTAAAGAATTTCATTTATATCATTTATTTAAGAGGAGGCATACTCCACTCTTCCAGTGTAGATACAAAGTCCAGGATGCTTTACAACAGGTGAAACGTTACAGGAGAACCATGATAAGAATTGGGAAAATAATCAAGTCATAATTCTGTGCAGCTTCATATTCCAAATCAATCTAGTTCTTTGAATGATCTGTTATGCCAGCAATAATCCAAAACAGCTCTTGAATGTACATCTACATGACATAACATAGCTCTATGCATATCTAGTCAGAAGTACTTTCCATTTGAACCTAATGAGTCTTACGCCTCAATACTTGGATATGGAACTGTAATCTAAGGCTATCACCAGATTTTTAAAAAATCTTATAGTATTATCCTATGTATATTCACTTGAAAGTAATGCCCTATGTATTTAATAGGGTTACGGAAGTTTGCATAGGATTGCAACCTTAGCTGATAAGTAATGTGCACTTTAGTTGATTGATTCAATCTGGAATTATAGCTTTTGTTTAAAACAACAATTCTGAAGAAAGAAACATTGTTTTCTTTTGTTTAGTTTAGCTTTGCTTTGCTTTGCTTTGTTTTGCTTTATAATACTGTACCCATCTTATAGAAGAGGCATGTCTGCTGTGAAAGAAAATAAAGAATCAAAGAATCTTTATATGTAACAATACCTATCACTTCCTTCCTTGAGTACTTGTATTAAAAATCTTTAATATTTTTAATCTGCTGCTTTATTAACCAAGGATGCATAATAAACAATGGAAAGGTTAATTGAATATTCTGATTAATAGCCTAGTTGGTTTAATTATTATGGATTTCCACCAGAAACTCTAAACATAGTAGGTTTATGAGAATCCTAAGTATTATTTTTGAGGTCACTTTATAGAACTACATTTCCCATAGTACCTTTGGAGGAAGTTAAGATAGTAGTGTACATAACCTAAAATTACCATTCCCAATTGTATATTTGGGCTATAGCCCACTGATAAAACCTGTGTGAAGCATACTGACCTTCTCAGTGAAGTCCATATACAGTGACTAGTTTCTTCACTTTAGTACTAGTGCATCATGGTTCACCAAGTCCAGGTTCTGATCCTAAGATCCTAAACATTTTCTAACTGCTAATGGACAAGGTCTTAAATGGTTCCTCATTCAGTTCCTTATTGGATGTCCAGTATCAGCCATTCCCAAGGCAGTCTTCCCTGGCTGTTTTAGTTGTAAACAGCTCTGAAAGTCACGACTATTGGACAGTGTATAAATAAATAAATAAATTTTTCTTTGGATCTTTGTGTAACTCAGGCTATTGAACAATATTTTGTTTATCTTTAGAGCTACTACCTGTCCAATAGCTGGACTTTCATTCAGTCATCAAACTTTATACTGCTTGTCTGGGCCTAATTTTGCCATCATTAGTGTATAATAGCATCTCTTTATATTACATGAATATAATCTCTATTTCCCTTTCAATTATATGGACATATTATTTTGCAACACCCGATTATAAATATTTCTCACTGATCTCAGATATTGAGATTCAGAAAGTTTTGAGGAATGAGAGTTAGTCAAATTGTTATTAGAGCTGACAAAACAAATCATATTATAGTTATTCAGGAAAGAAGCTAGACTTTTCCCCTATAAGGATGTAAGTGGATTGTGTGTAGACTACAGAAGTTAATCCTTAGCCTTTTATTTTTTTAAGAATGAAGTATCAGAGGGTCTGTAAACAAGCTTAAATGTGTTTCAGAACTCAGGACTTGATGAATAAGAGAATATACCATGCATGTATAGCTCTTGAGAGGGTGATAAGCCTTAGCAGGATATCCACCTTTGTTGTGACTCTTCAAAAAATACTGATGGAAAAAATGTATCTACCTCAATGACACTCAAGGAATACATATTCAAATTCTCTATGATGTTGGCAAATGCTTAATACCCTTCCCATAACAGACACATTTGGTTGCCTCAAATCAAGCATTCATATCTGGGTTGGTACAGAAATAATTTTGATGGAAAGATGGTGGATGCCACTAACAGGTGAAACTATAACATGTATATAAATAACCTTCCAAAGACTTTCAACATCTCTCTCGATTATCATGTATACTGTTATTAAAAAGAGTAGAGATTTTTATTTTTAAATACAGCTTAAATATTCATAATGTTCCCTTTAAATACCCCTTTCTGAATAACAGTGAAACCATCCAGTTATAACTGCATTAAATCACTGCATTTACATCCAATATCTGAAAACCAGAAGTTGTGTTATACAAATTTAAGCAATGCCTGTGTATTGCCCAGATTTCAATCAGCAGTAGATTTAAAATATCAGAACTATAATCCATTCTTAAACATCTTTTAAGTCAGTGCTGATCTTTAAGTCCTGTGATAAACGACACCTTGCAGTTTCAATCTCACACACACATAGCTCCAAGATATTTATATTTGGCCTACACCACAAACCATTTATTCAGGTTCCTAAAGAGATTTAGCAATTTTGAGAACATCACTAAGCAGAAGAGGGATTGGGGTGTCCCCCCGTCCTTTTTAAAACAACAACACAGAGGACAGGTAGTAAGAGGCTAGACGAAAAAGAGGGAAAGGTAACATAGGTGGGGTGGGGGAGGTGACAAGAAAAACAAATCTTTGGAGCCAACTCACCTCTCTCATTTGTTCCAGCTCCTGCTTAAGGGCATCATATTCCGCTTCCAGCTCATCATACTGCTGCTTGAGGGTGAGTTTTTCTTCCAAGACCACTAGCCCATATTCAGCAGCCTGGATTTTTTCATGGGTTGTTTCTGTGAGCTCTTTGGTCAGTCTCTCAATCTCGGACTTGTAGTGATCCACCGTCTCCAAGACCTCTTCTGCAGCCATAGCTTTGGGCTGTGGGGTGTGAGGGGCAGAGAGAGAAAAGGAGGGATGGAGAGAGAGGGAGAGAAGGTGATGGGCGGAGATGGATGGATACAGGCACGGGTGAATGGCAGTTCTCCCTGGGATGCTCCAGAGAAGCAGGCAGCTACTCCGGCTTAAGGCCAGGGGAGAGGAGCTGATGCGCCATGAAGGAGTGGAGAGAAGGGGAAGGAGTTTCAAGCGCCCCAAGGCTGCCGCACCATTTGTCCTTCGGCTGGCTTTGCTCCCTGGGAGCTCAACCCGGCATCGCTGGCGCTGGAGCAGGAGGAGGAAGAAGGGGGGACGTCCCTCTTTTTCGTCTCTCCCCCACCTTTTTTCTTCGTTTTTTGCTTATTCAGAGGCACTGGTCCGCCATGTCTCCAGGGCAGCTTCACTGCAGTCTCTCAACTCTCCACCTGCTCCCCCTCTCTCGGCCGCCGCTGCTGCAGCCTGTGTGGAGAGGGGAGGGGGGAGCGTAAATAAATAAATAAATAAATAAATAAGCAAGCGGACCTGGCTGTACTGGATGCAGCCTCTCGTCTCCTGCACGCCCCCCCCCCCCATGGAACAAACGAAGTGGGGGGAGGAGAGGAAAGGGACGAACCTTACCATAGCAGGGCAGCCAGAGCGGCGAGCGCGCAGGCACCTCCTCAGGCCGCCGCGCCTGTCTTCGCCTCGCCACAGCCGCCTCTTCCTCCGCACCCCTCCCAGCGGCGGGGAGAAGGACAGATGGGGAGATGGCAGCGCCGCCCCCGCCTCCCGCCCTGCCTCCGCGCGGCGCCTCTCCTCCCGCGCTCCGAGGGGGCGAGCGGAGGCCGGGGGCTTCCTCCACGCTGCCCGCAGCCCGCCCTGGGCGAGGGAAGAAGGCGCCCGCCCGCAGCTGCTGACCCGCGCCGCGCCGCGCCGCGCCGAGCGCACTTGAGGCTTTCCAGAGATTTCTGTATCCCGCAGCCTCGCCTTACGCACGGAGAGCCACCTGGCTTGTTGTTGCTGTTTTGTCTAGTCATAGGCATGGCACGGAAAGTATTCCGTAGAAAACTTGGGGGCTCTGTAGCTTTAGAAGATTCTATCGCAGCAAGTGGCATATAAGTCTTAAAATAAGTGATGGGAAAGCAAAGGGAGGAGAAAGAGAACTCTTTATAAAAGGATGCATACTCTAGAGAAAGTGGAGAGGAAGAAAGCACTCCAGTGGATATAGGTAAACCCATGAATACCCAGTGAAGCCAAACTCAGCACCCAAAGATACCCCACCTCCCCGCAGCTAAGGAAAGATAGTAAGGAAGTGTGTGTTTGTTTTTTCCCCATGCAGTGCATAGTTCAGTTATAGAAGCTGGTACCACAAGATTTGGAGATGGCTGTTCCCTTGGATAACTTTAAAATGGAATTAGACAAATGTATGTAAGATAAGACTATCAACAGCTACTGGTCATGATGAATATATATTTAAAGGTATTAGAGACAGTTTGCTTCTAAAATGCCCTAAAAAGGTGCTTGCAACCATGCAATTCCCTTGTTAAATAACTACATTGCTTCAGAATGTTAGTACTGAATTTTATTTATTTATTTATTTATTAGATTTATATTCCACCTTTTTTCTTACAAAGAAGTCAAAGTGGCTTACATCAGGCTCCTGCTCCTGCTCTCAATCTTATCCCCACAACAAAGACCCCGGGAGGTAGGTTGGGCTGAGGGTCTGTGACTGGCCCAAAGTCACCCAGTGGCTGACTGAGAAGGAATGATAACCTGGAACAGCCAAGATCAGCCAAGTCCCAGTCCCGCCCTTCTTATCCATGACACCACGCCAGTTCTCAGATGACAGGATGGCAGAGGAAAGGGATGGTAAAAGGACAGCCACTTTATTTCCTGCCATCACAAAAGATTTGAAAGGCACTGGCCTTTTCTTTTGAAAGGAAAATGTGCATTTACGATATCCTGGTTTGCATGTAACACTAAGCTGTGATATAAAAATTCAAAACCCTTTAAAGTTTGAAATGAGAATGGCTGAAAGACCACTTGCTAAGATGTTTAAGGCAAACGTCCCTTGCATATCTCTGAAATATGTTTGGTTGGAACTAGGAAAAGATCCTTAGTAGCTCTGGGTAGGCTCTGGAATTCCCTTTCCATCCTGCTTGCTGATGGCCTACCATGCAAATGTTTATTTAACATAGAAACATAGAAACAGAGCGAGTCAGAAGGGGCCTCCCGGGCCGTCTAGTCTGACCCCCGGCTCCTGCCGGCTCCACTCACGACATGCCCACCATGTACATGTCCAGCCTATCCTTGAACACCCGCACCGATGGGGCCTCAATGACCTCTTGTGGAAGCCCATTCCACACCCTCGGGGTCCTGACTGTCAGGAAGTGCTTCCTGGCATCCAAACAGAACCTTGGCTCCCTGAGCTTTGCTCCGTTGGAGTGCGTCCTGCCTTCCTCTGCAGGGGAGAACAGGTCTCTACCCACCTCCATGTGACATCCCCTCACATACCTGTATGTCGCCAACATATCCCCTCTGAGTCTCCTCTTCTCCAGGCTGAAGAGGCCCAGTTCCCTCAGTCTCGCCTCATACCCCATCCCCTGCAAACCGGCCACCAACCTTGTGGCAAATAAAGTTTTCGAAAAAGACTGAGATAATGGGGTGAGATACAGACTGAGGCTCAAAAATGTAAACGTAGTTTTTGGAATATCTTTAAACATAAAATGCAGCTAGTTTCAGTCCGTTCATACTGTCGCACTCACTCAAGTCATTCATTCAGTGCTGTAACAATGGAGCATGGGGTAGCCAACTCAGGTTGTGTACCCAGAAGCAGGAGGTGTGCTATCATGCTTGCTGCTTCACTGATGTCCAGCGCTTCCTCAAAGTCCAACATGAAACAAAATGTTCTTTGACTACATGTTTTGGTTGTGCATTAATCTAGCTTACCTTGTTTTTGCTTGTTTGACATTCTTTTTTCTGATCTTTTAAGACATCTTTCCTTCAGAAATGTGTACAACCTGATTATTTATTTATTTATTTATTTAAAACACTTCTATGTTGCCCCCATCGGAACAAAGCGTCGGGGCAGCTCACAACATAAATAAAACATATAAATATAACAATTATACAATTAAAATTAAAAACCCCGGTGACATCTCAGCTTAAAAAATTAAAATCCTATAAATACAATAAATTAACAATTAAAATAAGTTTTAAATAAAAAGGCCTTAGCCTGGCACCGAAAAACAAATAGCGACGGTGCCAGGTGGACCTCTCTGGGGAGCGCATTCCATAGATGATTGCACGTGTTAGTGACATTTTTGAATTATCAAGTTTTAATCTTAACTGTTTTCTTCTGTCCAGTGATTCCTGCCAAACTCAGTTATTTGCTGCATTTTCACATTCTACTCTCAGCTTTGTAATTTTACACTTAGTTCTGCACATATGAGGAGTTGTTGCTATATGCCATCAAGTCATCTTCATGGTGAAGATCATGGTGACCCTATGAATGAAAACTCTCCAAAACGTCCTGACCTTGTGAACTCAAGGCTGTTCTTCTATGGAATTGATCCATTTCATGGTTGATCTTCCTCTTCTTCCTTCAACGTTTCCTGACATGATTGTCTTCTCCAGCCAGTCAACTTCATACGATGTGCTCAAAGTGTGATAGCTACAGTATTATAATTTTTGCTTCTAGGAAAAATTCTGCCTTGATTTGATCTAAGACCTTCTTGTTTGTCTTTCTGTCAGTCCAGCGTGTTTGCAAAGCTCTCCTCCAGCACCATGTTTTTCCAATTCTTTAGCCCTTTCCTTTGGTAACTTCACGCATTCTATTCGGTAACATTCATCTGCTCAAACCTCAGAAAAACTGTTACCCAAATGGGGTCGTTATCTGATTTTACATCACGCAGGGACAGCATCTCCTACCTTTTTAAGAGAGCTTTAAAATATACATGCATATATTCATATACAATTTATGGGAAATACCATCCAGTGTGACTGGCTGTAACCCTATGAACTCAGAAGATTACAGGTATACTATGGAAGGCAGAAGGAGCGTGGGGACAAAGGTAATCTCTGCACATCTTTCACCCTATAAAATATTTAGGGCACAATCTGTAGACTCCCAGTGTTGTCTGGAAGGGCCATAGAATTACTGAGAGACCCAACTCCAAGGTCTTGCAATCTCAGAACTGGGACTCTGAAGACTGAGTCCCTGCCCCACCTCCCTCCCAGCTCAGCTGCCTCCCCTGAAGTCACAAATGCACTACAGAGGGGAGAAAAAAGGGCATGCCAGGGAGGGGGGTGGGATTAGGGCTAAGGACTTACTCTGTTTTCTGCTGGCATCCCAGCCTCCTTCCCTTCTTGGTGTTTTATCTAGATGGCTGAAGACAGCTGACTAGCTAAGAATTGGGACATAAAGTGCAACAGCAGTGGAAATTCCTGCCACCACACCTTGTTCGTGCATGGAGGCTGTAGAGTGTACAACTGCACCCTTAGGCAGCCGGTTTCAGCCATCTGCGTGTTTTGCCTTGGAGTGCTAGAAGACTAGGCTGAACCACACACTGCATGTGCTGACAGAACATGTCCCTCCCCTTCCCACCCCCTAAACATCCACAGAGCTCCATCTCCACAGAGATTCTTGTGACATCAGAGTCGCAGGCAATGCAGTTTTTCCAGCAATGGCTGCAAGGATGGAAGGAGGTTGCTCACATTTTGGAGTGAGATTCCAAGATCGGAGCTGGGACTCAGAAGTCTCTTATGGCCATCTAGAAAATGTCTAGCAGTGAAAGGATTGTGCCCTAAATGTATGGCCAAATTGGCACTCAAGGCAGCCAACTATAATAAAATACCAATTTTAATACCAAACAAACCAATTACCGTATTTTTTGCTCTATAAGACGCACTTTTTTCTCCCTCAAAAGTAAGGGGAAATGTCTGTGCGTCTTATAGAGTGAATATGTGTGTGCAGTAAGTCTGTCAGATGTGCAGCCCATGGGGAAGTGATGGGGAATATGCCTGTGATTATGTGCCCATTTGATTCAGAATATTTTTTTCTTGTTTTCCTCCTCTAAAAACTAGGTGCGTCTTATGGTCAGGCGCGTCTTATAGAGCGAAAAATATGGTAAAATATAAAGCACTAAACTAAAAGCACTATACGATAAGTAGACAACACCCTACCACTTAAAATCCCCCTCAGCAGCAGACCCTCTCATGCTAAAGTTCTGTCTAAGAAAAACATTTTGTTTTTAAGATTTCTGCTGGCAGAAGAACAACAGAAAGGAAAGTAACCTTTTTTAGCAGGGAGTTCCAGATCTATGGAGTGGTCCCTGAAAACGCCTTCTTGTATGTACAGCAAGACTGCTATATATGCTATCTCAGGTACTGCAGTTTCACTTAACTGAGGTTGACTACCCATCCTCCACATTCTCCCCTAGGGGGACACAGAACCCCCACAAAAGTGGGAAAACTGTGAATAGCTTAACAGTAAACCCAGTAATATCTCTTGGTAATCATGCACTCTGTTGGGGAATGCCATGCTCTTTGTCTCAGTACTAGCCAGCCCCACTCACATGTTTTCTCTCTCAGTGGGCATAAAGACCCTATAATCGTGGTTTTTCTCTAGAGATATTTGCAATTTTTCCACTCTTGCAGGGGTCCTGCGTTCCTAACCACCCATGAATGAAGTGTTTGCC